GGAAGAACTCTCGTCCCCACTGGGTGTTTCCACACCTTTCCCACTTTTGTCATCGAGGTCAACCTTCTTTTGCAGGGTCTTTGTTGCCCTACTTTCACTACGTTAATGGTAGTGGTCTTCTGGAAGGGGCCCCTGTCAATTCTCATCTTTGGTTTGCCCTTGTCATTGAAAAGTAGGTATCTTTTGTTAAGCCCTCCTAGATGGCATTTTGGAACATCACACAGTTGTTGGTGGAATGGCTCCACAAATTGTGATACTTACAATAGGTTTTTCATTTCAACTCCAAGGCTGAGGGGATCTTATGGTCATATGACAGCTTGATGATGTCATCAACCAAAAGATGGTCAAAAATCTGATTGGCCTTTGAACTCATACTTCCAGCTGTTGTCATTAACTCCCTTCTCAACATTCACCAAAGTCTTCATGTGGCCTTGCTCTTCAAAAGCTATAGCTAGGGCTTGACATACATATGGGCATCTACCCACAATTTTGGCCATGTTCACCTCCATGCTCTGTTCTATTTCCACCATGAGTACTTCAGTCTTAGGATCGCGATAGTAAGTGCCTTTAGAAGCGTTATTGCGGTCTTGCTTCTCACGTAGTATTTGCTTATAACGCACTACATATATTGCTAGTTTGAAAAGATTGCTAAACTCCATGCCTTCGAAATTCTTCCACAGCTCAAAACTGAGGCTATTCTGGGAAATGACGTACATATTCCATTTCTGGCAAGGTCAACTTGCACTTGTTTCTAGCCTTCTTAAAGTAAGTAATGTATTGCTATGCCGTTTCACTAGTCATCTGGTACAATTTGGCTAGGTTGGCCATTGCTACTTCGGGCTCTATCTAATAGGATTATGCATGAAAACTTTTCTTCCAGCTATTACTAGCCTAACACCAAGTTAGGTGGCAAGTCGATGTACCATCAAAATATGGTTCCAATCAAGGAGTTTGCAAACAAACTTAACTTCAAGAACTCATGTTACCCCACCTTGCTGCATTGCATGATGAATCACTCAATATGCTCTACGGTTGGAAGATTGTCCTCTCCCAAGAATGTGGCAAATATAGGGACTTTATAACCAAGTGGATATTCATGCTCTCTATCCACCCAATCAAGATATAGCTTTCGATATGTCGGCCTGGTGACTTATCTCATATTGACCACCTATTGTGTCGCCGGGAACATGATTGGCGGCTACCTCTTTTGTCCCCCAATTTTGGGCATGAGAGGGATGTCCTCCTGAAAAAGAGGATTATTATTTCTCCATGCCCGTTTTGGGCTTGCTATACTCTTGGTGGCGCCATGTATGGATGAAACACTAGTTGTGGTGTTTATGATGGGGGTAACGACTATTGTCTTGCAACCTTTGGTCTATTCATCATCTCAAATAGTCATTCTAACGCTCATCTTGTACAACCAAATTCTTCTCTTATCAAATCTCCAATGCCATTAATGAATCACGATACTTGCTAGAAAACATCATGAGAAATTGCCTTTATTGAGGCCTCCGTCTCTGAGTCGAACGCTTAATTTCCTTGCCCTTTGGTGGAGGCAACTCTTATGGAAAGTTGGGAACACTAAACCTGCCTTCTTCAGCTATCTCGTGCCTTGGAGGCACGTTTGCCAAATTAGACTTGGCTTTTTTAGGTGTCATTGTTTCTATAGTGTTCCACTGGGCATGCAAAAAAATATGTTTGGTGTATTTTGGATTGCAGGCATGTCTAAGTTCTGAATGACTTAGTTTCCAAATGCTTGTGACCTTACCTACTTGAATTGATGTGAGGTTCTAAAATCATGACTTTTCAGACGGTTGAAATGAAGCGTAAGATTACTTCTAGATTTTTTTCCTTGCCTTGAAGATCAAGGACTTAAACAATTTCCTTAATAACGAGCATATAGACGAGGAATTTAAGATTATTTGGAAAAAAAATAAAATAAAATAGACAACAAAGAGGAATTGATGCATGAACTATTGTACTGCAATTAAACAGAAAGGATGTCACTAGGAGTGATGATTACATTGAAAATAAATAAACTAAGCTAATCAGTGCAAATGAAGGTCCTAGTATGTGTGTGTGATCGAGAAACCTTTTCTCTGTAGCCTAGGCCTCTGTGTTTATAGGCGGTGGCTATTAATTGCCAAAATCGTCTTTTTGGGCCATGAGACTAGTAATCATGACCTCTATTTCCGACTTCATCTATCATACACATAAACGTCTATAACTATTTGTTCATGATATCACGTCTCTTCATTATCCGAGATCCATGGAGGCCCTTTCTCTCTTATCTTTTATATCTCCCTTGAATCTTTACTAATTAATCCTGGTCTTTGACCTTTACTACATGTCACCCCCAGATCTTTGGTTATTTAGGTGTAAACAGATATATCTTGGATACCAATACTCTTTGAATACACGTTGATAGGTATTGATGTTTTCGCATGTCTTGAATAATTAACAAAATATTGGGCGAATTTCACTTTACGCCTTGAAAGATTTCAAGTTTTTCACTTTGTACTTTCAAAGATTAAGTTTTTCACACGACACCATTAATGTATAAAAAATGTTACAATGTAGCATTTCTGTTAACTTTTTGTTAATTTTTTACATTGAGAGTGCAATATGTTCTTTAAAAAAAAGAAAATGGTACAATGTGAGAAATTTAATATTTAAGAGTGCAAAATGAAAAATGTTCAGGGTGCAAAGTACAGAAAGTTCTAAAATATTTATCATTGTTTGACACTTGTCGAATACAAACCTTTTGATGCATGTAACTCCATATTAGATACATTTGACTTATACTTAGGTGGGTTGTGTAGAAAACATGAATGATACAAACGGAGATTTCTTGTTCCAAAATGTTCATTTGAGCACGCATCACTTGTCACAAAATTTGTCAACTCTTTACAATTTATTTGGCTTGAATAATGAATTTTTATAATTTATTTCAAAAGTTGCGATGGAACTATTGCAACTAAATGCTCAGAGAAAATTGAGTATTGTCGAAGGGTAACACATGTTCAACTTTAAAATTATATAGAACATTGGATACAAAACACAATTAAGCAGTTCTTATATCAATAAACAAATTATTTTAGTTTGAGAAGTGTTTTATCTCCTAAAATTTTAAAAAGTATGGTTTGCATATATATATATATATAACTATATATGTATCGTATTTCTTTAGATTTTATTATATTATTGTATTCATATTGTATCATACCGTATCTTATATTTGTATATGTGCTTTCTAAATTGCATGTGCATTCAAAAGTGGACAGAAGAAATGAAAAGGACAAAAATTGGGGGATGGGTTTAAGATACTAGTGTTTTCCACAACATAAACAATTATTTAAAGGGTTAATTAGTTTTTACTTCCTTTTGGTTTTGGCCAAAAACACTTTATCTACTTGATATTTAAAATAATGGACATTATCTCCTTATAGTTATGGACCAAAGTAAAGTAATTGAAACCATTAATGTAATTAAAAAATTACCACAATACCCATGTTTTAAAATCAAATATTTTCATCGAATTTACTCTTGAGCATAAAATTAATGGAACATGACAATAAACAAACATATTTTAATCAAACATGCCGAACTCTTTTTCCCTCAAGTGAGGCTTTGATCTGGGGCAAAAAATTACTTAAGTTTTGCTTACATATTTTTCGATTGGGGACCGAAGTCTCACCTATTTGGGTATTATACCATATATTATAAAGGGTATTTTAGACACTTAGACAATATTCTTTTCGAGGAAAACAATGGAAACAAAGCCCACAATAAGTTTTGGACATGTAGAACACACTCTCCTTTGGCTTAGATGATAAAAATAATCATTTCACTTTTGTACATTACTATAATGGGGTAATGTGATTAATTTTAAACGTCACGTTGGTAAGGTGTTTATAGTCGAAAACACAAGGAGATAAAAAAAATAATTAACCCATTATTTAATCATCCTAAGATAGGATGAACAAGTATACGATAAGGTTAGTCTGATTCCAAATAATAAAGATAAACGATTCATTGAGTTAGAGAAGAAGGCATGATGGAATTCTACTTCGAGTTTTCTTGGTAGCAGACCTTACCAAGCCCACACTCACCAGTCTCCTAGATGAGAAGATCCTGTCCCCTTCATGTCCAAAGGGAATAAACCCAAAAATTCCGAATAGGTTTAATAGAATTTTTAGTCTTAAAATATATATTTTTTATCTTTTTAATTTTCATTATATCAATTTTATCAATTTAATCCTTAAAGTATTCAATTCTTGTCATTTTGGTCTCTATATAGATTGATTATCAATTTTTTTTTGACAAAAGTGACCACATATCAAATTTTTAAATGGTGTCACGTGCTTAACACGTGATTATTTTATCCAAAACTTAACGGTCCGTGTATGTAGAAATCAAAGCGACCCGAATTAAATAATTTTAGGATCAAATTAACAAAATTAATTCAACGAGCAACAAAAAAATATATACTCTAAAGACCAAAGTACTATTAACCCCCCCCCCCTAATAGTACACAAAGATTTGTCAAGTCAACGGATTTGGTTCCACCCCTAACCCCTCAAACACGTTCGGCCGACCACATAGGAAACCAAAGAAAAACTGGTGGATAGTGTAATCACTAGATTTGGTGATGTAATCCATACTTACGTGTGGTTTTGTTCAAATCTACAATTGTTTAATTGATGACTCAATGTTTGCTTCTTAAACAAATGCTTATGATTTTCTAATGCATGCATCTGATTTCTACCTTCATCCTGCATATAACTAAGACGAAGACTCACTTCCTCCTTTAGTTTAGACTTTAGAAAGAGAGAGAGAGAGAAGAAGAAGAAGAAGCCACCCCATGATTAGAGGGTAACGTATCAGGTTCTTCATAATTTTTTATTTATTCACCATATGAATATAGTCGCTCCCTTTCTGATCTTTTGGTTTCACAGTCTAGGGGTCACTGCTCAAAACTGAATCCAATTCAATCAAAGATGGATGCTTTCACTTATAATGAAAAGGTAATTACTAATAAATATATTCTTCCGTTTTTTGCTTTATTTTAGGCACAATATGTACAAAACGACTTGGATGTCAGTGTATACAGAAAGATCTAATATGAAGTACCAAATAAATAAATAAAGATCATGCAAAAAAGCATTTGAAATGAGTCATTCAACCCAAAGGATAATTCTGACCAAAAAGAAAACCCAAGGTTAACTGCTTTCTATTTGATTTGGTGATCTAAAGATAGCTGGAAAAAGTCATAATCGGCTTTTTTCTGTTTGTACCACTAGATTTCGATTTTTCATATATATATATGAATCAACTATGGATTCCGCCATAATAGTCATTAACATTTGCTCCGGAGATGATCAAATAAGGTTTAGTTACTCGTATTTCTCCGGTGTTGCCTTGAATAATTAGAACTTTGACTTGATTTTAGGTGTAGTTCGTTTTTGGATAGGCATACATTTCCACTAATAGATTGTCCGTGACTAATTATTTCTTGCTTGTTTAGGTGGTAAATCTTCGTTCAGAGTTGGAACGGCTAGGTAAAGAGAATGAAAATCTAAGACTGTTGATAGAAGTAATGAGCAATGGGTGCAACATCCTCCAAGCCCAACTCCCGAAGATGAAAGACGATCAAATTAGAAGTTTTCTAATCGAGAACGAACGTAGCTATGATTCAGGAAAAGAGGGAGGACCAAAGTTTCAGTCATCAAGCCTTCACAGATATTTGTGAGAACCGACCCAAACGATAAGAGCTTGGTGAGTCCTTCAAATCTTCAATGGCTGTTCATGTCTCAGCAGTCCAACAACTTGGTGATAACTAATCATTGAAGTTTCGTTTCCTTATGATTTTAGATAGTGAAGGATGGATTTCAATGGAGAAAATATGGGCAGAAGGTCACTAAAGATAATCCATCACCTCGAGCTTATTACAGATGTTCAATGGCTCCATCTTGCCCAGTCAAAAAGAAGGTATATCCGAATCATTCATTGTGATCAATGACTTTTATTCTGTTGAAGAACATTAATAATAATGTTACATCATCTCTAATAACTAAATACTTGTAGATAAATTGGTGGCTTAGATCGGAATACTCCACGGGATTTGCATCCCCTTTGACTTCCCCTCCCTTGCGCTTCCTCTCTTAACTAAGAATTGATTTTTTAAAAATTTTAAACGAGTTGTTATTAGTCAGTGGAGAAGCTGTTAGGCCACATGAT